TTTCTGGATAGATATTACTTACCAAAATTAAATCAAGAACAGATAAACAGTTTAAGTCATATTGAAATAACCCCCTGAATCTTATCAGATCACAATGCTTTAAAGCTAGAATTCAACAGCAATACAAACAGCAGAAACCCTACAAATTCGTGGAAATTGAATAACACCCAATTGGGTTGCAGAAATTCAAACAAGAGCTAATACCAGTACTCCTCAAACTGTTCTACACAATAGAAGCAGAAGGGACATTGTCAAATTCTTAGTCTACAACCACTTTGATACCCAAGCCACACAAAGATACAACTAAAAATCACATGAAGAAACCGGGGAATAGTCCCACTAGAGAATTGACAGAACAACTGAAAGCTTTAGAGCAAAAAGAAGAAACTTCACCACGGAGGAGTAGACACCAGGAAATATTGAAACTGAGGGCCGAAATCAATAAAGTAGAAACTAGGAAAACATTACAAAGAATCAATGAAACAAAGAGTTGGTTCTTTGAGAAGATCAACAAGATAGACAAACCTCTATCCAAACTAACCAAAAGGCAGAGAGAGCATGCTAATTAACAAAATCAAAATGAAAAGGTGGACATAATGGACACTGAGGAAATCCAGAGAATCTTCTGGTCATACTTTGAAAAACTGTACTCCACAAAATTTGAAAATCTAAAAGAAATGGACAATTTTTTGGATAGATATCATCTACCAAGATTAAATCAAGAACAGATAAGAAATTTAAATAGACCTAAAATCCCTAAAGAAATAGAAGCAGTCATCAAAAGTCTCCCTATCCCCCCCCAAAAAAAATCCCAATGCCAGATGATTGCAGTGGATAGTTATATGAGAAATTCAGAGAAAAACTAATACTAGTGCTTCTCAAATTGTTCAACACAATAGAAGCAGAAGGGATATTGCCAAACTATTTTTATGAGGCTACAATTACCTTAGTACACAAGCCACATTATTACACAACTAATTAAGACAACTACAGAAAAACATCTCTCATGAATATTGATGCAAAAATACTCTTGGATGGCAAATGGAATCCAAGAACACATCAGAGAAATCATCCACTATGATCAAGTAGGCTTCATCCCAGGGAT